TGATTTTACATGTAAGTGTGGAATAAATTTATATCTTTTTATGAAATCTGCCATTGAGCCTTCTCTTTGTCCATATGAGGAATACCCCGGGATAAGAGTGATGGAGGAATGGCTTTCCTATCTAACAGTATATGCCTGAATATACCATAAGAGGGTAATGGTATTTAGCATCTACTTTGGCTGGAGTGTATAGGATATTGGTACCTAGTATCACTATTCACCTGAGATTGGAGTGATCACGAGTTCTCACGTTTATTTTGATTTATTGATTTTTTCACTATTTTTGGTGTGATTTGAGTTTTGCACAGTGTGAAGCATATATATATGTTTGAGGATATTACACTATGATATATTTTTCCTTCCCTTTTAAGCCTAATATCATCATTGTTTTTAAACCTATTATTATCATTATTACGGGCAGAACGCACACTGGCAAGGCACCTTTTTATTGCAACCAAGCTGACTATAGCGAAGACCTGGAAAGCTCCTGCTCTCAGTTTCGAAGCAGCGAAACATTGCATGAATGGTGTTATGGTGAATGAGGAATTAACATCTATCTATACTGTCCAATTCCCATGACCAGTTTCTGCGAGTTTGGGAACCCTGGATTTCCTATGCTCATTCTTCATGCTTTGACCATCTGTTATTGACATTATGAAACTTTCAGGTACTTTGTCCTCTCGCTTTCCTCTGGTCCAGTGGCCGAGAAAACACTATAGCTCAGTGCATCTCCTCACAGTTTTGAGGTTCAGCCTCCCCTAGTTTTACTTTGTTTTTTTTTTTACTACTGACAACTATGCTCAAAATCTTTAAGGAGATCTGAACATCACCTTCATGAGGTGGATCAGTTTGATTATTTTAATAATTTACCCATTGTAGTTACCTTTCATTCCACTGTATTTTTTTTGAGTTGTACTGCAAGTTATGTAGCACATTCCAACTTATTGTCTCAGTCAACTGGCTCTATGTCTATGCCATCTGTTAACATAAACCTTTGTAAAAGAAATATCAGCTTGAGCTCTGTAACAGAACTTGTGAAAAGAAGCCTAGGGTTCCATCTGCTGGGTGAAAATGAGAATGCAAAATAAATGTAAAAGTACTAAGTCTAACTACAAAAAAAAAAAAAAAAAAAAACTCACTAACAATACTATTTGCATTCTTACGAGATTTGGGATCCTCAGGTGTCCTAGAGGGCTGTTCGGAGATTCTGTGACCTCATCAGCACCTACGCTAACAGACCAGTCATAGTTTATAATGTAAGGCCGGCATTAATAATAGCACCTCCTTTTGTTATTGTAGGTTTTCTGTTGAACTCCTTGGTAAAACATGGGCTGTCCCTTCAAATTTTGATTCGTTTTTGTCCAGAACCTGCCTCTGCCGCCTTACTAATGGTCCAGCATTATGACGGGTGCCCACCATGGCCAACAATGAGGAGTAGGAGGAGAGGACGGGCCATTTTTAAAGCTCTCTGGGATTTTGGGTTTTTCATAGTAAAGCCAAACTGAATGAAGTAAAGAGAAATCTCTACAATAGCGTTACAGAAAGCAATAAAAACCTGTCAGAGGTTCTACCTCTTCTACAGTCAATAAAAAAACACATTGGATAGGGATGGACTTCAAATCAAAGCATCCCTTATGAGCTTTTAAAGCCTCTGGTGTGCCCTCCATATGGCAAGATACACTGCTCAAAAAAATTAAAGGAAGACTTTTTAATCAGAGTTTAGCATCAAGTCAATGAAACTCCTGGGATATTGATCTGGTCAGTTAAGTAGCAGAGGGGGCTGTTCATCAGTTTCAGCTGCTTTGGTGTTAATGAAATTCACAACAAGTGCACTAGATGGGCAACAATGAGACCACCCCAAAAACAGGAATGGTTTTACAGGTGGACGCCACTGACATTTTTTTCCCTACTCATCTTTTCTGACTGTTTTTCACTAGTTTTGCATTTGGCTAGGGGGTCAGTGTCACTACTGGTAGCATGAGGCCATACCTGGACTCTACAGAGGTTGCACAGGCAGTCCAACTCCACCAGGATGGCACATCAATATGTTCCATTGCCAGATGGTTTGCTGTGTCTCCCAGTACAGTCTGAAGAGCATGGAGGAGATTCCAGGGAACAGGCAGTTACTCTAGCAGAGCTGGACAGGGCTGTAGAAGGTCCTTAACCCATCAGCAGGACCGGTATCTGCTCTTTTGTGCAAGGAGGAACAAGATGACCACTGCCAGAGCCCTAAAAAATTACCTCCAGCAGGCCACTGGTGTGAATGTCTCTGACCAAACAACTCATGAGGGTGGCCTGAGGCCCTAATGTCCTCTAGTGGGCCCTGTGCTCACTGCCCAGCACTATAGAGCTTGATTGGCATTTGCCATTGAATACAAGAATTGACAGCTCTGCCACTGACACCCTGTGCTTTTCACAGATGAGAGCAGGTTCACCCTGAGCACATGTGACAGATGTGAAAGGGTCTGAAGAAACTGTGGAGAATGTTATGCTGCCTGTCACATCGTTCAACATGACCATTTTGGTGATGGGTCAGTGATGGTCTGGGGAGGCATATCCATGGAGTGACGCACAGATTTCTACAGGCTAGAAAATGGTACCCTGACTGCCATTAGGTATTGGGATGAAATCCTTGGACCCATTGTCAGACCATACACTGGTGCAGTGGATCTTGGGTTCCTCCTGGCGCATGACAATACCTGGCCTCATGTGGTGAGAGTATGCAGGCAGTTCCTGGAGGATGAAGGAACTGATACCATTGAATGGTCCCACAAGTTTGCACCTCAGACTGTCCAGGAGCTCAGTGATGCCCTGGTCCAGATCTGGGAGGAAATACAGGACACCATCCGTCGTCTCATTAGGAGCATGCTCCAACGTTGTCAGGCATGCATACAAGCAAGTGGGGGCTATACAAACTACTGAGGACCATACTTTTTTTTGAGTTGCTGCAATGAAATTTAAGCAAAACGGACTAGCCTGCTGCATCATTTTTTTCACTTTGATTTTTGGGGTGTCTTTGAATTCAGTCCTCTGTAGGTTGATAATTGTCATTTCCTTCAAACAATGGGACATCCTTACGTTCCTAACACATTACCCAATCCATATCAGTATAGATATCCAACATATTTGTCCCCACTGAGATTTGATGTGTTTTCAAAGTGTTCCTTTCATTTTTTTGAGCAGTGTATATAGGGTGTATTGAGCTAAACATGTTAAATGTTGCCAATAGAGCCAATGCAGCCATCCAATCAACCTTCAACTTATAAATTCAGAAGGGGCCCCTTCACTGTGTTTTAAATACAGATAGAATAATGTAATTTTTTTTCTCCAGATAGATTATAGTCTGGAACCTAATCAACCTCCCCTGTGTATTTTCTTCAGAAGTCAAAAGTTGAACAGAGTATTAGTAACAACTATTCACAAATACCACTGCTCCAGATGGACTCCACAAAGTGATTGGTCCATATCCCAGATGGTTTAAACGTTGAGTAGTATGTGTCCATTTATATTTAATAGATTTTTGTGGACCTACCACACCACTCCACAGAAAAAAATAAACTATTTCATTAGTAAAATGTTTTTCGGTACTTGCCCCACCTCACAAATGTTGTGTATTTTAATTCCATTATATTTACAATATACAATTTATTTGATTTTAATAATATTGTTTTGAATAAATTTATAATGTAACCATAATGACCATTAAGGATCATAAGTTTTAGAAATAGTGTGTGGTGCCGATTAGGAGATAATAGAATAAAGTGGAAATTAATGAGATTTAACATTTGCTGGTTTTTAGTACTACAGCTGTACGTGTGCTGCATTGCGAGTGTCATGAGTAGGCATTTAAGTCCCTCACCCCGTAGACTCCTTTATTTCAATGACAAAACCTATATTGTGGGTGAAAAGTGTCTCACAGTGGAGCTGTAGAATATATGTCTGAATGACCTCACCTGCTCTTTTGTTTGCTCATGTGGTGTCAAAGAATATTGAAATTGAAAGAAAACAAAGAGTGTGGCTTAAACATTACACACAGAGGCCTTTCGCAACCTTTTTATCCCAACGGAACCCTTGAAATTATTTTTAAGTCTCTGAGATCCCCCTGCAAAAATTAGTTTATCGAGGGCCATTGGGAAAATGCTCCTTACTTTGTGGTAGTAAGTGGGAGGAATCCCCCCCGCTATACAGGGGTGGCCAGAATGACACATTGCAGTCATGTTACTGGCGCTGCCAAGTGACATTGGACATAGAACTACTCAGGTGCCATCAGTTGTTAAGAAGGTTAGCCACAGCTCAAGGACCCCCTAGCTCAGTGTTTCTCAACCTTTTTGCAGTCAGGGCACCCATTAAAATTCTGCAGAAACTTGAGGCACCCCATTCAAAAATGTAAAAACTAAACCAAAAGTTTTACATAATGCAGCAACATCCACACATGCAGGACGCCCAACATTAAAGGTGATTTATTCCTACAAAGCGCACTGTTACTTTTTAGTATTCAAATGTTTTTCTCCCTCAGATTCTCTCCCGCGCTAAGGTAATGTGACGGAGAGAGCAGAGACCAAAAAAAAAAAATGCTGATTCTTTGCAGGCACATGATGTCCTTCTTATCAAACGATGACATCATTGGTTGCTGGCAGCTAGAAGGTGGTAATGGTGCACAATGAAAACCTGTGGCTTTGTTTAACTAAAAGGCAGGCTTCATCCACCCTCTGGCTTGTATACAAGTTTTGGGAATTTTTTAGGCATTTTGCCAAGGCACCTCCTGAAGAAACCTGAAGGCACCACGGTTGAAAAAGGATGCCCTAGATATACATGGAAGAACCCTGGCTGAGAATGAATGACAATGAAAAATAAAAAGAATCGGCTCCCTCCTGGGGGACAGCAGGGTCTGCCATTTTTGAATCAGAAGACAAGTGAACAGATGTGCCACTGTCGTACAAGATCTATAGCAAACAGCATCCATACATTCACTCCATGCATCCATAGCACTCTGGTTTTACCTAAAGGACATATAGAACTGGTGCAGAGGCAGCTTGACGAGACCCATGAGCTGGTCAGATCCCGGGCTGGGCACTTTGCTCCACACTTCAATGATCATCATATTGTTCTTCATCCTTGCCAGCAGTCGGCTTGTCAGAGTCACAGGAGCCACCTGTAGGAAATACAGCGAGGACAGCTCAGCCTGGAGAGCACCAACAATACCTTATAACCTAGAGTAAAACCCACAAGACAACACTCTCAAATGAAGACATTTCAGAAATTATTTTTTGGGATAAATATCACATTGTTGGATTAAAAAATGGAATAACCACCTCCCGTCCGGCCGTTGTATATAAATGGCCGGACGGTGGCAGTGCAGGGTCTGGTGGACATTTATAAACGGCCTCCCTGCCCCCTGCTTGTGCGCGCTCCCTGGGACACAGTGGAACACCGATCGTCATACGAGGTCCCGATCATGTGATCACTGGTTGGCCAATCAGTGATCACATGCAGAGTAGTAAGCAAGATGTCACCTCTGACATCATTGCTTACTACGTGTGAAATCTGTGAATGATCACAGAGGTCACATGGTACAAGGCAATTCACAACAGCCTTGTACCATGTGACAAGCTGTGACCAATCACAGCTCACACAGTAGTTCTCAATGGCTGCAAGAATGCAGCCAGAGAGAAGGAGAAATGATTGCTTTTACAGCCTTTAGGGGTGTAAAAGCAATCGTTGTAAAAAAAAAAAAAAAAAAAAAACATGGTGACACTGTACTGCTAGGGTGACAGTATGTAAAAAGAAAAAAAAAAAACAAATATAAAAATATAAAATTAAAATGTAAAAAAAGTTTAAAAATTATAATTTTTGGTTATAAACTAATTTGGGTTTGTTTGTTTTTTATTTACTAAAAAGATAACTGAATAAATTTTGGCCAAGATTTATGATGAAATATTATTTATTTGCTAACTTTTTTAAGAAAAACACTTTTTTTTTCAAAATTTTTGGACATTTCATTTACATAGCAAAAAAAATAAAAATCCCAGTGGTGAATAAATACCACCAAAATAAAGCTTTATCTGTCTTAAAAAAATGCAAAAAAATCCATATGGGTACAGTGTTGCATGACCGCGCAATTGTCATTCAAAGTGTGACAACGCTGAAAGCTGAAAATTGGCCTGGACAGGAAGGGGGTAAAAGTGTCCGGACTGGAAGTGGTTAAACAGATATCAGGCATGTCTGAGGACATCGCAAAGTTGGGATTTTGTTCTGGGCAGGTTGTTCGTTTGTTTAGGACACAAGTCTGCATTTTGGATTCTAATATTTCTTTGTCTGCTGGTTTCCCTGACCCGTGTTATTACTCTGCCTAAACACCTCCTGCCCTACAACTCTGTTTAAAGCTGAACTCCAGCCTTCCCTTCCATCTAGCACAGTTGTACAGGCTCCTCTCCTATTTTTAAAATTACTTAGAGCCCAACTCATTTCCTGAAGGACATTCAGCATCACCAATACCTTTCCTCCCCAGCCTGACTGTGCCTGCCCCGCCCCTTTCATGCATTGGATTTAAACAAGTCATAAACCCAAAAAGAAAAATTAAATATTTTACAGCTTACCAATCCTTAAAGGAGAAGTACAGTCAAAGCTCTTTTGGCTGCACTTCTCCTGTGTATCACAGGAGTGCAGATTGTTCTGCACTCCTGTGACCCTTTTCAGCTGAAGCCGACTGTCAGCTGACGTCACTCGGCCATTCCAGGCTGGGGAAAGATCCTGACTTTAACCATTAGCCGCCCGGCCAATGGCCGTTTGGCGGCTTCAAATGTGTCCCTGCATTCCGGGTGCACGCCATTTGGCGTGCTCCCGCTCATGCGCCGTTTGCGCTAATGCAGAGCGGCGCAGCAGTGCGATCTGTCACCGGCCGTGCACCTCAGACACGGCCGATGACAGATCCGAGTACCGGCTCCCGTTGCTGGTACCATGTGACCTGCTGTGACCAATCACAGCAGGTCACATGACAGTTGTATACATGGATGGCTTCATTCATGATGCCATCCATTGGCATCCCCTTGTAGCCGGCAGGGGACCAATGCTGCATCCACGTAGGTAAGTATAATTTGGCAATAGAACATCATCCCATACTTCTCTTTTAAATGTGGTGGCTGCATTATTTTTCTTTTTTTTCCCCTTCATTTTCAAATGGTGATCCTGAAGCAACACACTTGTCCTAGGGTGTCTCCACTCTGCATGGAGGAGCAACGCAGACACCTCTGGACAACAGCATTGTCAGTCTCGGGGGAAGATAGTGTTAGACTATAAGATTTAGCTGGACTGACTAACAAATTAAAGCCAAACACCAGCTAACACTTAGCAGTTGTTACTGTTTTGTCTTTTTTGGATAAAAGTTTTACTTAAATTCTGACCATTGTAAGCACCCCTGTCAATGTTTAACCACTTCAATACCGGGCACTTTCACCCCCTTCCTGCCCAGGCCAATTTTTAGCTTTCAGCACGGTTTCACTTTGAACGGCAATTACGCAGTCATGCAACACTGTACCCAAATGAAAACATTTTTCACACAAATAGAGCTTTCTTTTGGTGGTATTTAATCACCACTGGGTTTTTACAATGAACAAATGAAAAAAAGACCAAACATTTTTTAAAGAAACAAACGTTTTTCTTAGGGTCTGTTATAAAATGTGTCAAATAAGTAATTTTTCCTCTTCACTGATGTGCACTGATGGGTATTGACAGGTTGCACTGATGGTCACTGATTGGCACTGATGGGGCTGCACTGATAATCAGGACACTGATGATTAGTGACCCGATTATCAGTGTAAATGTGTGCTGTCACAGGATTGCTGGTTATCAACTTTCCTTTCCTCACACAGTGACAGCACGTGAAAGGGAAAGGAAATGCCAATATCCAGCATTTGTTTACATGTGATCGGCTGCAACTGATTGCATTTTTGATTTAGGGTTTAATAACACTTTAAGTCGTGCAGACTTAGCATGGTATGTAGGTGTTACCTAGGAGTGGTGTGCGGTTATTCAGTAAGCTATGTTGAGCACTTCCCACAATCCATGATCCACCAGCACAGCGGCTAAATGGTTAGCACTTCTGCCTGGCAGTACTAGGGTCGTTGGTTCGAATCCCAACCACTGCACCACCTGCTTGGAGTTTGCATGTTCTCCGTGGTTTCCTCCCACACTCCAAAGACATGCTGCTAGGTGAATTGGCACCTGTCTAAATTGGCCCTAGTATGTGTATGTATGAATGTGAGTTAGGGACCTTAGATTGTACGCCCCTTGAGGGTTAGGGACTGATGGGAATGTGCAATATACATGTAAAGCACTGCATAAATTGATGGTGCTATAAAAGTACCTATAATAAATAATAATAATAATAATAATAATAAATCCACCAGCATTGCACAGAGAAGCAATAAGAGTATGCTCCCTAAACGTTAAAAGCTTCAATCCACTGAAAATGGTCAACATATCTTGTTAGATGCTGGAGAGTTAAAGCCCCTGACAGCTACTGCATCTCTCGGGGACTCCATCTTTAAAATCTCTGCCTACCTGCTGTGCCCATTAGAATGGTTCCCACCATCCTTATGCCAAGGTCCCAGATCTGTTGTCTACATTATGAGGAACTCCCACCTTGCATGGAGTTCCTGGGTCTGTACACCTGCTAAGAGGGGTTCCTAACAATCCCTGCTGGATTTTAATTTATTAATTATGAAGAATGTAACAGAAAGAGCTGGAATACACAAAGATGGGTGAGAATGCCCAAAACATGTCACATGAATTATCACAGCAAAATCTCATTATTGGAGCATCCAGGACAAATAAGAAGCCAATGGCTGGTTCATAGGCCCCACCTAGGACACCTTACCTGACAGAAGTTGTACACAGGCTGGCTGCTGCCCCACACAACACTGGAGCGTGTAGCCTCCTCACTGGAGAAGAGTTTACATTTGAGGTAGGAGTTACACGTGGCGGAGTCTGCTCCTGGGATTAGTCCTGTCCCTTCTGGCACCATGAGAACCACATGCAGTAATAACCCGGTCTCCTCAGCTGCCTCCTGGAACATTGCTGGCTGAGGCTCCTCTCTCGGAGTGTGGTGGGAAGCCAGTGTAATAGGCGGCTTAATATAGTAGATGGACTCCAGCTCGGGAGAGGACTCCTTGTCTGATAGGTGTTCAGGTGCTGCAATTCTGATGCTCTGTCTGAGAGAAGATGTTGAGGCCTCCTGTGCCACCTCTGATGGCTTCTCAGGGACAATGGAAAATTCTCGGCTGTCTCCGGCAATGTCCACAGAGACCTGTCAGCAAGAGATAAGTTGTCTACTTAAGCCACAACCATTACTAGCACACCGCAACAGACAACAAAATCTTGGCAGAAGATGGTTAGCACCAATCTTAAAGCTGAACTTTGGGCTTTCCCTATCCCCACCCCCACCTACCCCCTTCCTTTTACGGATTGTAAGCATTAGTAAAAAAAAAAATTTAAAAAATTAAAAAAAAAAAAAACTGAATTTTTTGACTTGCCAATAAAATCAATTTCCTGGAATACAGTACAGGACACTTTACATCATAACTGGGTTATATGCAGCTGCCTTTAGGTGATTGGACACTGGTACATTCCCCTATAACCTCTCCTAATCCTAACCTTAATACAAGTCTTAGTATTGTAGCAAGCAAAAGAGAGATCATAAGAACAGAGGGAAGGGTCTGGTGTCTGGCCGGAGCAGGACTTTTGTTGTTCCGGGTGGACGTCATATGAAGTACTCCTCGAACGTAGCTCTGCTGCGGCGCGTTCTGTCACCGGCTACGTTCACCGGACACAGCTGATAACATATCACTGTACCGGCCTGATGCCGGTACCATGTAATCAATGTGACCAATCATGACAATTGTAAACAATGAATGCTTTCGATTCATGCCATTATTGTGTACAATTCTGATGCTAGCTGTGATTGGTCACAGTGATCACATGGAAGAGACAGGGTCAATCACAGCCCTTCTGTACCAAGTTATTAGCTGTGGCCAATCACAGCTAATCACAACAAAAACACACTGAATTAATCGATTTTATTCAGTAAAATGCTTGCTTATAGCAGTGAAATTCACTGCTATAAGAAATCATAATGTGTAAGAAAATAAAAAATGAAAACATACTATGATAACATTATATTGCTCTGGTTACAGTGCATTAAAAAAAAAATTGTAAAAAAAAATAAAAAAATAAAAAAAAAAAAAAAAGTAAACATTTTGTTATTTTTTTCGTACAGTCACCAGTTAGTGCCCTTGATCACCGCCACATCAGTTATATGATGATTTTTTTTTCAATTTCTTCATTTTCAAAAAAATTATTACAAAAAATTGCAACTTCAAAAAACTCACCATGCCGCTTTCTAAATACCTTGGATTGTCTTTTTTTATAAAGAACAATTATTTATTTGCAAAAGTTTTAAATGAAGAAGAGGAGAATGTCCATAATAGGATTGAGAGCCAAGAGAATCAGACTGAGGTACCAAGGGGACAAAGCAGATTGGACAGGAGGAGGTGTGAGCCATGTCCTAAACAAATTATAGAATGAGAGGCCAGAGGGCACACAAGCAGAATGGACGAAGTCTAGGTTTGTCCACAAGTGACCATGGAACATCTATCAGGAGCTTGAGTACCATGTTCCCCTGGGCCAAAAGTAGGGGAGGAGGAATCTAAAAGGGCAGAAAGCATAGATCAGGCTGAACTGATCCCATGGAGTCAACAGAGAACCCATTATGAAGGCCTGGGGATCTCTGTACCTGGTGACAAACCTGTCCAGTTTGTTGCTGAACCTTGATACCAACAGATCTATATCCGGTGCACCCCCCATCTGTGACAAAGGACTTGAAACCCCTCCAGATGGAGGGCCCATTAACCCAGATCCAAACGTTGACAACTGGGAAGGCTCACCTGCCAATTTTCCATACCTGGGTTGTGGACAGGGCTAGAACATGCAGTTCTGTCCAAAAGAGGATCAAGTTTGCTTCAAGAGTTGCTCAACTACTGGTGCCTGCTTGAATATTTACGGAAGCCACAACCGTGGCATTGTCTGACTGGATTGTTGTCAGATGTCCTCGCAGAATGGGAGTTCAATACTTAAGGGACAACCAAATCATGCTGCGTTTTTGAATGTTTTTGAGAAGGCGAGCTTCCTTCCGACTCAGTCCCCGCATGAAGAGGGTCTCCAGGAGAGCTGCCCAGCTTGACAGTCTGGCAACCACCATGAGAACCATTAAAGATTGAGGAGGATGAAAGGGGTTCCCTAACTCCCTTGTGGAGTTGGAAATCCATCATGAGAAGGGGATTCTGGATCTGGGTGTCAAATGCTTGGGGAAGTCCAATGACCAAGTACGTTTGTCCAACACTGACTGAATGTTGAGATGCAATGGCCTGAAGGGAAACTGGGCATACAGCACAGATTTGAAGGAGGCAACCCTGAGACCCAATACCCTCACGCAGACACAAAATCAACCTATGTCTTTCTGCCCCCCTAGATTCTCACACCCCTACTTCCACTCAGTTGAAGACAACTGCATAGAACTCAGTCATAATGATTTAAGGAAGCCTGTGTTCTGTACTGTTTGATCAAGAAAAAAACCTATCCAAAAGCTTTTTTTTCTTTACTCACCTAAAACTGCAGTCACGTGACACTTCCCAAGTCTTTGCTCCTCTTCTGTTTACAGGAGTTGCGGTCTTTCTTTGGGTGTCAAAGTCAGTATCTATGCCACATAAACACTTGCTATTGGCTATCCAGCAGCAGGGTCCTCTCTGAATCCAGAAGAGGAATGATGCCAGTGTGAGGTGACTGACTGGCATGGGCACATCTGCAGTGCTTGACCAGTGGACCTTCCCACACCCTGATATGATGCCAGACAAGGAACTGGACAGTACATTTATGACAATATATCTTGATTTACAGCGTAAGGAAAAAACCTGAAGAATGAGTTAGTGTTGAGGCAGGGTGTTCATATTCACTGGAGATGAAGAAAGAAAGGAACCTGTACATAAATGTCTAACTTTAATTTATGAATTCCTAGATTTGTATAGTACCCACACATTCTGCACAGTTTTATAGAGAACAATCCCAGTCCTGTATTTATATGTATATAAGCTATATACTCTAATGTGAATTGCTGCAGAATATGTTATAAAAAAAGATAATACAGATGGATAAATGGTGGTATTGGCTAAGGTTGAACCTTGTTAATAAAGTCTATAGGTTTACAAATCAATGCCCTGCCCTCTGAGTGCTTAATGTCCACCCCCCACAGCTGAACATTATGCTTCATTCAGCCATCTGCAGCAGAGAAAGGAAGCCCTATGTAATCTCAGAGACACTCCAGAAGACTCTTCCCACCTCCTTGTAATGGAGATGGAGAGAAAGACATGTTTGAAACCTAATCAAAGCTGCATCCAAAGATACAAAACAGTGAATAAGCAGTGTCACCTTAGGCCCAGAAGACTGTTATTCACAGGGTGACCAGGTGAAAACAAAGAAAAAAAGCCTGAAGAAACTAATGCAGCCACCACATCTAAGGACTACTAAGTTGCAATATGTTACATTTTTGGTTTGGGGTTTAGATACACTTTAAACAAACGTGAATGGGGCAATAACTTATGAGGGGCGTTCAAGTTAAACCAGGACTTTGGAGTTTATATAATAAAAGAACAAATTTCAAGGAGTGGAAACACTTATCCCAGCTTTTAAATAATGCCTGGAAAAGCTATGGCATAGAAATACTTGTCAGTACGCCTGAAACATCCTAGGACAGCCTGCTTCACTTCATCATCATTGTGTTCACCATTCCTACAGAAAGATTCGTCTCTTGTGCAATTTAACAACAAGTTATGCGTCGATTATCCAGGATCAGGCATTCCACGGACTGAATGTTCACAGGAATGACTGCTGTGGGATGGGAACCACCACAACTGGGATCGTCACTGAGGAACGTATACATTTACACCATTCAAATGTCTTACTGCAGCTGAGCGTCTCATCGCCATACTGTGCTTGAAGTCTTCTGGTTTTACACCTTCATTCACAAGTAACTTCATCACCGCACACTGTTCCACGCACGCACTAACACTGTTGTCTACCATCTTGATTATTGGTCTCTGGACTGGCCCGTGATATGTACACCACCTATCTGTAATAGGGACACACTTGCCACTTACTACTGCATGTGGCGCCACCACTCTAGCATCCCTTTTTATACCTGGAAAATTAAAAGTCCTGGTTTGACCTGAATGCCCCTCGTATATGCCTGCTAGGAAGGAATGCCTTTTACCCAGAATTCCTTTCTTCTTTCAGAAAGGGTCATTTACACAACATCTCCCTATTTCCTCATTTTTAATGCAGCAATAAATGAATTTCCTTTTCACAATAATGAAGTAGGAATTACCTTAAGAGGCCCTACATCTTCCATCTCCGGTCCTCCCCCTGGACTATGAACTGGAAGTGAGCGGGACACAGAAAGGTCCTCAGATCTGAGAACATCCCGCAGACAGAATGCAGCAGAACCAACCACAGAAGGCTGAAAACAAGAATCCCATAACTGTTAAAGGGAATGTACATGGTTTGGTGCACATTATCATTACTTAGAACATTGTTTCTCAACTCCAGTCCTCATGGACCCCCAACAGGTCATGTTTTCAGGATTTCCATTATTTTGCACAGGTGATTTGATCAGTTTCACTGCCTTAGTAATTACCACAGCTGTTTCATCTGAGGGAAATCCTGAAAACATGACCTGTTGGGGGTCCATGAGGACTGGAGTTGAGAAACACTGACTTAGAAGGTCCATGAGAAAAAAATGTAACCAGTAAACACAATATACTGCACATAAATCTGTCACATTTATCACTTGCAACTAGCATATGGCAAATTCAAGTAAAAAGCAACAACTAGATTTATTGCGGTAATAAACTTGAACAGCAGGCAAGGTCAAATAACACACACTAAACAAAATGGCAAATCGCCCCAGTGTGATGGGAAACCGTTTGTGTGGTTTGTTTTGTGCAAAGTCCCTTCATGTGCACCTTACTCTAAGGCTCAGTTCACACTAGCTTTGTCAGCAGGCATCAGACAGGCGCTTGGGAAGCTTTTGAACGCTTCTCAAACGCCTATGAAAATTCTGCACATGGCGGCACACAGTGCTGTTCATGCTGCAGCGTTAGCGGCACGTCGTGGCAAAACTGACGCCCTCATGTCGAGTCAGGAGGATTGAAGCCTCCCATTCAAGTCTTCGGTGCCGCTCTTCAAACGCCTGGCAGGCGTTTGCAGTGCGGTTGTGAGGCGGTTTGCGGATCGTTAATACCATTAACTCCATTATAGGCGTTTGTGGTGCGGTTTTAACGATTGGAAAACGCCTATCTACCGCTTCAAAACCCCACATAAAGCGCTTGAGGAGCGTTAAAAACATTTCCCAAATGCCTAACGCCTGTCAAACGCTATATGCCTATGCGTGTTTTTGAGGCGCTTGCCAAGTGTTAAAACTGCACCACAAACGCCTATAATGAAGTTTAATGGTACTAACGCTCCTCAAGCGCGCCCCACAAACGCCTTTCAGCCTGTCAGGTGTTTGAGGAGCGTCACCATAGACTTGAATGGGAGGCTTCAACCCCTCGTGACGCGACACGAGGAGTCAATTTTGCTGCGACGCTAATGCTTCAGTGTGAACAGCACTGTGTGCTGCCATGTACACTTCCCAAACGCCTGTCTGACGCCCGCTGACAAAGCGAATGTGAACGTAGCCTAAAGCAACCGCCAGCATTCCTATGAACTTCAATATCTTTACCTGGGAGTCCCTCATGGGAAGAATCCTCAACATGTAAAGTAAGTTCAGAATTTACCATTTCCAAACTGGATAATTTTACAGGGCGCAGCAGTGACATAGATGGGAAAAACCACTGAGTGAAGCAGGGCACTAGGAGATTGACATTCCCAGGTATGTCTTCTACTGAAGAGATTTCATGGGATAATATCTCTCCATTAAAGTGGCATTAGGCAGTGCTAGTAGTGGAAGGTATTTACTTTCTTTTAAAGACAAAGTACCCTGAACAATATTGGTAAGTTTTCATTAAAACGCAAATCCTTCAACTCTCATTTTCAGTTCATGAAATGGAACACTGCTTTTCCCAGACTCTTGCTATGGTTTGTTTTGCAGCAAGAATAGGAATACAGGACAGTAGTTTTAGTTGAATTTTTACTATGCTCTTGACAGGCAGGTGCAATAATGCGACCCATAAGGATTTGATTAGTATGGTGTCAAAAAGGCAATGATCGTAGATTCTAGACCAGAAGCAGGTTATTTGGGGACATGACCACCAATATGCATCACTATGTCATCTACTGAACATCCTCAAAGTGAAGGCAACCCCAGTAGGTACCAGGTATCAACACAGTAATTTAATTTAGGTTCAAGACTTAATATAGTTTAATTGAACACATAGCAATAGTTTCCACAGCTTCTGATTTTTTAGAAAGATCGCAGTGTCTGCAAATCAAAATGGAAAGGTAATTTACAGTACCTAGTGGTACTAGCAGTGATTTTATACATTTAATTTTTTGGCCAATGTGGAGATTTCCCTTAAGGTGAAATGGTACCTTTTGTTGGGTTCCTTTCCTCAAGAAGACTTTAAAGGTTAGGTCCGTGCTCCACCAGTGTTTGATCATATGACCGCTGAACAAGACGGGGAACACAAATCTCTGCTGAAACTTCACAACTGCAAAAGGAAAAGAGTGCCATTTACTGACTAGTTTACGATCTGCATTGGATGCCTGAAAAAAAGGTCTTGTGTAGCTGCACAACATTTAGAAAATAATGAAACCTATGAATGCAAAATGTCACTTCCATGACAGATTAAATTAGTAATAATAATTATATATTATTCTCATATACACAGTGATAATATAGTATGTTGAAAAGATCTGCCCCACGGAGAAACTCCTGGGGTGAAAGCCCTTGGACTCACAGGAATCAAAGTACATTGGTCATGTCCAACAGTAGTGCGGGGAATGGACTTCTAAGGCTTGAGCAAGATAGGAATCACAGACTCAGATGTCCCTTGAGACTTGGGCTTCAACAGCCATGCTGTTAAAGACAATGGTTGAGAAGCAAGGTGGTAAACTGAACCAGCAGATCCAGATGGTCTGGCCTATGCGTGACTAAGAAGTCATAGGCTATCAACAGCCCCAAGACTCTCATGCAGAAGCAGAGGGCTTAACGATTTCAGGATTGAAGAACAAAGTTTTGAGAGTCTAAAGTTTTTCCTGGGTAAGGAAATGGCCTAGGAAGTGTCTAGAACCAGCCCCAGATACTTAAAATGATAACGTAGATCCAGCAACAAATCTGGTCTGCTCATTTGGCTTCTTTTACTGAGGAATACGAGTGTTCTCCCCTAGCAACCGAAGAGATGTTATTCTTTCAAAAGCCCTATGGATGCACTTAAGTCCTACATGAAGGAAAATTTCTCAGAACCCAGCCACACCTAACTGCCATGGAGGACACTTGAAAATCAGAGGGATGCACAATTCCAGGCTATAGATTGCCACTTTCAGGAGGCATGCTACAAGAGGTCCATCACCCATTAGTGAAGAACGTTCTAGGGGCAATCACCACAGCAGAACTGTCCACAAATGAAAAATATATGCCTAGGTTGATTTCCCCTGGAGGTACACCAACGGTGTTTCAAAGCTCACAGTGTCTTCCTGGCACTTTAAACAGCATAAGGTGAAGAGCTGGCAACGTGTTTTCCCTGATAAAAGTACTTTATTCATAAAGGGTACAGTGTGCAAGTTACAGCAGCTTACGTGTTTCAGTAAGAAAAAAAAACCTTATTTATGGCCATGAATATGGTTTTTACTGAAACGCATAAGCTGCAGAAACTTGCACACTGTACCCTTTATGAAAAAAGTACTTTTATCGGGAAAACGAGTTGCCGGCTCTTCGCCCTATACTCTTATACCACAGCAGAATTGTCCACCCCTTATCTAAAACCAGGCATGTGCTGTCCGCCATGTGGTAAGAGCTGTACAGGCTTAAGGTCTGAGAAGGCCTTGACTACTCATGAAACCTGGACAGCTGGTAGCAGGTGATTAGTCACAACCAAAAGGTGGGGCATCCAATGGTGATCAGAGTCAGGGTAGGTGGGCAGCAGGAACCAATCAAAGTTCCACATAGTCCTGTGCAGCATCAGCAGGGAGATGCTTCTTCCTCACGAAGCTCTGCCCAGTGGAAGTGCCACGGTGTTAACCCCTTCTACGGCAAAGTTGGCAGAAAACAGGAAATAAAAAGAGCTCCGAGGAGCAGGGCCCTCCTATCCCTCTTGTATTGAACTGTATTGTTGCTGTATTGTCTCCCACTATAATGTAAAGCGCTGAGCAAACTGTTGGCACTATATAAATCCTGTATAATAATAATAATGTCAGTTCTGCTAGGACAGTAGCAAAAACACTGAAGCATGCTGATAATAGGAAGGCTTATATCCTTTGCTGGCCTAGGTTTTTTTTTTTTGTATGCCAGTGTCCAATCCTCCTGTAGGCGGCAGTGTAACCTGAAGGTTTAAGATTTCCCGTGGAGAGACGGGTGGACGATGTCAAAATGTCCATCTCAGAAAATCAGAGGAAGCTTTGTGTTCATTCATTCATTCATTCATAAAATGAAAAGCTTCCTGTGAAGGTAGCCAGGTAGCACTCAGGCCACTCTATTTGTTCTGGGAGTGGGATGGGAAACTTCCCATCTAAATGCTGGAGCACAGTGCTGTTTACTGTAAGCAGCAGAGGCTACACAGTTAATAAAATGTGCCCAGCAACCGCACTTATTAGTGCAATAAAGTTTGTTTGGGCCAGCTTGGTCCAAAGAACCATTTGAAGGGATGGTAAACGTGGACTTAGCCTTTAATCTTTTTTTTCTATTTCCTAATGCCTAGCTCCTGTAGGCAGCCGCATATAACCCACAATTCCATGATTTACTATAACCCTGTGTTCCTCAGTGGAAACCTTTATATTTCACCTTGCTCTGGATTCAGCTGTTTGGTCAGACACGAAGGTTGACATGAACGCCATCAACTGATAGGAGCTACATAATGTTTAGGGTGAGAATTTAGGGTGTTATCCAATTGCCATTAGGGGTCAGGTCAGAATTTTTTCCTCATTGTAACAAGTTGGATTATGCTTCATACGGATTTTTTTCCCCTTCCTCAGGATGCTATGGGCTAGATTTACTAAAACTGGAGCACTCAGAATCTGGAGCCACCGTGCGCAGCGGCCAATCAACTTCTAACTTCAGCTTGTTCAATTAAGCTTTGGCAATGCACAGTTGCACCAGATTGTGTACTCTCCAGTTTTCGCAAATAAGCCCTATGTAAAAGCAATCCCACTTTTGTTGCATATTTGATCTACATAAATAAAATCTTCTTATGAATATTGAAAACTTATTTGTAATAGCCTACATGAAAGATTGTAATTAGAAAGGGAAGTGAAGTAAACCTGTGTGCTCAATAAGCGCTAAGTATCCACGTATGATAAAGGGAATCTAAATCAAACAAAATCTTCCCATACTAAAGAAAGGCAGTCAGTCATTGGACAGTGAAGATCATTCTGTGGAGGCCCACCATATGATTGTTTAATGAGGTTTACATCATCCTGCGAAACAGGATTCCCTCAATCATGGGAAACATATAGGGACTGATATGGAAGGATTGTTATATAGTACAAGATGCATCAACCAAAGCTGAGTAACGCTACTATTTCTCCAGGATCGATGTGTTCTAGATTCAGAAGTTTTCACTGAAAGTTTCTCAGCGTGATGTAAATATAAATAGCTTCTACTGTTAAAAAAATATATAAATAGCTCCAAAAGCTCTCCTATGCACTCAAGGAGGTATACTCTTAAAGTGTTTATAAACCTCAGACATGAAATATAAATAAAGCATATCCCTCTATAGTGTGTACTTGTCTCAAGAACACCAAGTATAATTTCTGCCTGCTGCCTCATTCCTCTGCTATACGCATGAATCAATTTTGACAAGTTTTCCTGACACCAAAAGAAAAGTGGTGACGGGAGGGCACAGCCTGTGATTGACAGTCTCAGCTCTGTTCCTGTGTGCTGTGTCCCTTCCCTCCAATCAGCTCTCACAGCTACAGCTGAGAGATCCTGTGTAAATTCGGAACTATGGATTTGAATTTCGGAGGAGGATTTGTTTCATCTCTGAGTATCACCTGAGGCCAGTCACTTCACTGGGTATATTTAAAAGGTTTACAACCACTTTAACCCAGCTGGTACAATGAACACAATCTTGGACATCCCCTATCGGAGCTTTATCCCTTACCGCCGTCTACACACCAATAACAATGCCCAAACAACATCCAACACTCTGTTTTCTACAGGCCAGCAGAGCAGAGCTCAGAATTTGTTAATAAATGCTGAGGACCTGGACAAGCGCACTTAAAACACTCAACTGAGATGAAGGAGAAAACATTCTAATACAGAGAACTGATCTCAGCAAGTGAGCACTCACCTCCATTCACAATCTTACTGGATACCAATCGGGTGATCTCAGCAGCCATAGACATCTCTCCCGTTCTGTTTTTGGAAGAGACTGGAAATTGGAACTCCACAAAGTACGTTCTGCCAGCAGAGGAGGATAGAGAAAAAGTAATCACTATTAAGAACTGGGTATAAAATAGGCTGAAAACCTTTTCAACTTTAATGGTCAATTTACAAACACTGTGCCAGCAAATAAGGGCAGCACGGATCTCAGATCAGTCCTGATCCCCACACTTTCAGACCTCAGATCAGCTCCAATTCCTTTACCATCAGAAATACAGGGGGGTTACATTCATACCTGCTGCAGCTGGCAGTTGCACTAACAGAAAGGACAGGTTAGGTTGGTGGGCATGTTCACATAATGACCTCAGCAACTGCAGGTGGGTAGCTGAAGGACTGAAAATGTCTATGACATGACAGAAGTCATAGAGGTGGCTGGGCTGTTAACACAGAAGGGCAGGCCAAGCTTTGTTAATTACAACGTAGGGAGCTGTCGATTACAGCCTATGTCAGCAGTGTTGTATAGGGAGCAAGGATCCACCAGAGAATTCCTGAATAGTCCAGCAGGCCATTATGAGCCTCAGTGTATCCCCAGTGAGCATCTTCCTGGTGCCACTGAAAAGGATGCTGTGTGCCCACCATGGCACTGCTACCTTATGTTGTCTATCCGTGGATTATAGTAAGCAGGTGACACAGGAAGTGCACTAGTAGCAACACTATGCTGCCTGTGTAGTATAGAAGTACTGTAGGAATAACACAAGAGGATTTAAGCAGACATATCTTATTTCTATTGCACTGCAGGTCAGTGACCAGACTCAAGTCTGTAGCTCTTCTACAACTGTGTCTTATTTTCCCCATATTGGCACTATATCCACTGAAGTATGCCATAAGCAAGTAAGTCATTTGCATTTTGCAGAGTAGAGTAGGGACTGGCCAGAGAGGGATTACTTTGGAGGCAGCTGGCCAGCTTAAACATGTAATTACAATACAAGTGAACCAAAAATCCCTGTTTTTTCAGCTTACGGTTTGCTAGAAATGTGTGAATGCGTATAACATTGTGCAGAGGGTTGATTTAGATTTTTCACTTTAGTGGCTGGAGAAAAATAAAAGTTAATTTGGTAGGGAAAATATCTCATAAATGTGTTTTAATGGAGGATTTAGTAGGAGTTCCCCTTTATGGTTTGAAAGGAATCTATTTACAAAGACACGTGTGCTTTGTTACTACCAGGTTCAAAGATTTGTTTTCCCCTTTTCAATCTTTTGTTTAATTATCCTGAAAATGTCATGAAAGCAGGGATAATTAAGGTGGAACTCCGACTTAAACCTCTATTTGCTATTGAGCGAGAAAAGGTTATGAGCTCGCCAGCTTCTTTACTGCTTTCTGTGTCCTTGTTACCATGTATCAAAGGTGGGTAAGTGAGCGCAAACAGATCAGGTAAGCAGCTAACATACAGGGTAATCCTCAATACCTTGGAACATAAACTATGAATGGGGTATGTAGCGCTAGAGAACAGATAATAAACACGGGACTGTTTATGATATGAAGTACCAATACAGCAGTTCATATAATAGTTCATATATTCCAGCCTGAAAAAATGGAAATGATCCAATGATGTTCCAGATCACAAACGATGAAATAAGAGAAATTAGTGAGGTTGTGCGCTTACCACAAATACACACAATATGAGCATTGTATGTAATTAACAGCAACCGGGCATCATGGTCTGGTCAACAGCCTGGGCACCATCTGGTCATATATGGACATCCGGGTCACAGGTACAACGCTATCCAGGCCCCTTCTGGCTTTCAAATCCAAAACGCCACCTTGCATAAGCTCATTACAAACGAGCCGGGAGGCAAGAAAGCGCTAATAGTAAAGTACGTTTATTTAAGAACACAAGACAAAAACCAAGCAACCAGGACTCACATTGATATAATATAAATCCAGGCCCACATAGATCAGCTCCCTGATGGTCAGTGGTTCACTCAACATGCAGCGCATACAGATCAAAGTCCAATAGATAGGACCCTGGTGGCCAGTGGTATCACAAATACAAAGCCATAGAGTATAGTGAGTATTATTAGAAATATACTCATCCAGGTCAGGTGAGGTAGTTCCCTGGTGGCTAGTGGATCCCTAGTAGCAAAGGCGTCAATAGGGTGGATCCACTGACCATCAGGGAGCTGATCTATGTGGGCCTGGATTTATATTATATCAATGTGAGTCCTGGTTGCTTGGTTTTTGTCTTGTGTTCTTAAATAAACGTACTTTACTATTAGCGCTTTCTTGCCTCCCGGCTCGTTTGTAATGAGCTTATGCAAGGTGGCGTTTTGGATTTGAAAGCCAGAAGGGGCCTGGATAGCGTTGTACCTGTGACCCGGATGTCCATATATGACCAGATGGTGCCCAGGCTGTTGACCAGACCATGATGCCCGGTTGCTGTTAATTACATACAATGCTCATATTGTGTGTATTTGTGGTAAGCGCACAACCTCACTAATTTCTCTTATTTCATCGTTTGTGATCTGGAACATCATTGGATCATTTCCATTTTTTCAGGCTGGAATATATGAACTATTATATGAACTGCTGTATTGGTACTTCATATCATAAACAGTCCCTTGTTACCATGTGTCCTTTCCTGTCCCAAGAGCCACAAAGAAAGTGAAGGGGATCTCACCAGTGAGGACACACCACAGTAAAAAGACCTGTAGCAGGACCATTTCTACTCTTATCGCTGTTTTGTCCATGCTGGAGAGATTCCCTTATTTTTGTCTTAGTGACCACAAAAGGAAGTGAGAATTTAAAGCCCCACATACACCCCCTACTCTGACTATTGCTTTAAAAAAAAAAAAAAAAAACCCTTTAATTACCCTTTTAAACTTGCCTAATTCTATGGTCAAATGACACTACAGTCCAGAGTCTTAGCTCCTTTTCTTTGGTTGACCACATCAATGCCTGGGTGATGTGGACACTTCCTATTAGGGTGCTCTAAGGATCCAGAAAAGGAGTGCAGTGACACCATGGCCCCTCCCTTGCACCCAAAAACTCTTCCAGCATGGGTCTCAGATGACAGACCTAAGTGAGTAAATATTTGCTTCACACGGTATTTAAAAAAAAAAAAAAAAAAAAACACACAACGCACGCACAAAATACAGAATGGCCTTTAACATCTACTGGAGTCTCAGACTGCAATATGCTAGCAGAACAGAGCCTAAGGCTACTTTTACACTGAGAAGTTTTTGAAGCACTTTTGTGTTAAAAAAAAAAAAAAAGTGCCACGAAAGCTTAAAAAAAATGCTTCCTTATGTAGGTCTGTGTATGTATTCACACTGGGGCAGTTATTAAGATGCTTGCAGCATCTTTGGAGCATGTTTTTCAGTTAAAAAAAGCCTCTTGCCATTAAAATCAATGGAAAACACCTGAAAAGTGCCTCAAAAACACCTCTGAAAAGAGTTTTTGGTGCAGTTATTAAGGGCTCATTCACACCACTTGACTGTTTTACCAGTGCTTGCCAAACGCCCCTACAGCGATTGGCAAGTATTGGTCCGGCGTTTGCGAAGCGTTTTTTTAATGCTCCGCATGCGCGGTTTAGTGGCGGTTGCTAGGCGTATGCCGAGCATTAAAAACACCCCACAAACGCCTATAATGAAGTTTAAATGGTGTTACCGCTCCGCAAACGCCCCGCAACCACGTCAAAACCACGCCACAAATGCCAGCAGGGCGTTTGCGGAGCGGCACCATAGACTAGAATAGGAGGCTTCAACGCCTCCTGACTCGACCAGAGGCGTCCGTTTTGCCGCGACACTAACGCTCCCATTACAACAGCACCATGTGCTGCAATGTGCAAAATTGTTCGAGGCGTTTGGGAAGCGGTAAAAACGCTTCCCAAACTCTCTCTCTGCCGCCTGCACACAACGCTAGTGTGAACGTAGCCTTCGTCCTTTAAAAACCGCTCAGAAAGCAAAAATATCCTATGTAGGTCACTCATTCCCAGTGTTCTGTGAGCTTGAAAACTACAAGTAGTTGGCTTGTAGTTCTCAATGAACTACCAGGGCGTTGTTGAACGCTCTGGTAGTCCATTGATTCTTCCTGTCAGAGTGTAACTGCCTGCTCATATCGGAGGTGCAGGCAGACAGATAGACAGTCTGCAGGACCATGGCATTACACCCACAATCTGCTGATCACAGGTGCAATGCTTTACAGGCTCCTAACAAAAGAAAAAAAAAAAGGCATTTTTTTCATTGCAATTTAAAAAACAAATGTGCGATTACTATTTTTTTTTGTAAAGGTGAACTTATCCTTTCAACCTGTCAGTGGAATGTGTATTGTATGATAGGAGACCATAAAGCCAAGCACTACTGCAAATGAAGTTTCTCATTTTATTGTCCCGATCACCGGAAGTCCTAATACTAACACAAAACACATTGTTTCTAGGGCGTTAGATGAGTGAATCTGAAAAAAATGTCATTACCCTATTTTTGCAGCAGATTGTCCTGGATAATTGAGTGCTGGCCGGCGCTTATTTCCACAATCTTTTCTAATCACTACATACCGTTTGATGGAGGAAGCTGCTCTTGGCGGTTTTCCATTGCTCACTCTTTTGCCCTGGGGGACATAGGTGGATTCTGGTTTGACCTTTAGGGATTCCACAATGACCCGAACTGCATGCATCCGCCCCAGCAGCGTGAGACGGTCCACACTGAGATCCATGGCTTCCATCTGCGTTCTGTCACTGAGTGATCTCTCTGCGGACTTGTGTCTGAAAAACAGTGGAAAAGCTTGTGATTATCCTTACTTCAGTCAGAGAACTGATAATGCTATACTGGAAACATTGCCACTGCAAAGGTCAGAAAGTCCACTCTGCTTTTCTTAAAAGGGACTGTCACATTAAAGAAATATCATCACAACTTCAGAATTGGTATTGACTCCCCCAGGGAACTTCATCCTATTCTAATCTGTGGCCATATTGTTCAATAAAAACCACATCTTTAGGTCTGTGCTTCCTGCAGCTCCACCCTAGGCTGAAGCCCAAATTATGGAAAAATAGTGTGAAGGTGCTCTCCCGTGTCTATCCCTCCTCATTGGGTGACACAGCAGCAGGAGCCATTGGCTCCCACTGCTGTCAATCACAGTTAGTGAGGAGGGAGCGGGGCCAAGCTGTGCACTGTGTGTGTCAGACACACAGAGGAGGCTCAAGGGTGAGCACGCACAAGTGCCCCCAAAGCAAGAAAGCCAGAGCAAACAGCTTGCCCTGGGGTCACTCAGCGGGGGGATATTGAAAATATTCTGGGCTCACAGAATCAAACCGGAAGGCCTGAACTTATCTCTACATGGGCATGCTGGAAGCCATTTTGTTCTGTATATTCTATTAATATACAAGATTTCTGAACGCAGATTTTAGGAGCAAATATTCCAAGGTTGTTACAGCTTACATTCCCAGGTTATAAATTTGGGGGCTATGGTGGCATGGGGGGTATGGTGAGTCCATAATGACCAATTAATGGTGAAGCGCTATGCAAATGTGATAAAGTGTGAGTTCAATTGTGTGGAAGGGTATCTTGAGATACGCTAATCTTGGAATGGAATTCTATTGGAACCAGAGGAGCCAGTGAAGCCAGGTTATGAGACACCTTCCGGTGCGGGATATCTGTTGTGGCCCTGAGGGGTCGATGCTAGGAGGTGAGGAAGCACTCTAGCCACTTTGGGATAAGTCACACTAGAGTGTCACCAAGAGCACTAATCAAGTGTGAAATGAAGATTGAAGCACTTTGTGTTGGATTGAGCACAGTTGTCATTTGCACAGAACTTTATTTTAAGAGGATTGCACTTATCTGTCCATATTGTATTTAGAGCACTTATTACTTTATATTTTAATTGTGGATATCACTCACATTTACACTACACCAACCTGGTTGGCCGAATTGGTTGGCAGACCAGGTACTGGTACAGGTACCAGTACACTTTCAATATTGTTTGATTGCAATTTGAGCACGTGTCACTTTGTATACCATTTGTTTTAATCTCACGGTTGTTCACTAATTTATGGCATTTCATATTATCACTTTTATATTATTTTTATATATATTTAATTATTATATATATTATCAAAATATTTTTTATTGCACGTCATGAATATGGATTTTTTGGTTTTTAATATTCTGCACAGGTTATTTATCCCTATACATTTATCACACTTTGGTATCACATTTTCATAGCGCTTCACCATTAATTGGTCCTTTTGATATATCCTGAGGTATAGGGAATAGATGATAGCATCTGGCACGTTTAATAGGGGTTCATATAGCTGAGCGCAGGAGGATTTTCCCATTTATGGCGAGTCCATGTCTAGATCAAACAAAGGGCAAAAGAACTGTTCACATTTTTTTTTCTGTGAACCTATGGAAAGAGATTTCATATTAAACGTTACATTGCACATGGTGTAATGATTTGACAGGAATATTTTAACCAAAAATGTAAATTGTATTATCATTAGTATTGCAGGAAGTAAATACTTGCTTAAATAATTCAGGTTTTATATTCCTATATTCTATTTCCATATATATTTTATCTATATGAACTGGTTTTAACAATGAATACATATTGGTATATTGTAGAACCCTGAAGAAGTCATGTGGCAGTGATGTAAAGCGTAGGTCAGAGAGCAGAATGTGGTGACGTCATTTCCGACACGAATGGCCGCAGCCATATTGGTACACCCAGTACACCCATATCAGCACATGATTGATGCAATGTTTGATCTGTTCCCATGTAAGTGGGCATTTGTCTTTATAATAAATTTGATTCCATTTAAAATATTACACTATGGAAGCACTTTTTCTGGTCTCCCTGGGAGTGCTGTGAGCTGGCTGTTATTTTTGGTCCAACAAACCCCTAGCAGGAGTTCTGTGCGTTAGTGGATTTCCGTGTCCAAAAGGTGAAAGATATATTACCACCGCTGAACAGTATGGTCCACCAGTGAGGGGGATATCATCCCTACATCGCCATTTGGGATTCCACTTAAAGTGCTCCTGCAGTGAGTCTCCTGAAAGCCTTTTGGCCCCTTGGGGTCTGGGCGCAGAGGTGAGGAGGCATTTTAGCCGGTGTGGGATTCAACAATCATATACCTATCCACGTTGTTGGGGTTTTTTGTTTTTTTTGGATAAGTTTTTGTTGGATGTTTTTGCACATGGACTTTATGTTGCATTTATTATTATACAGTATTTATAAAGCGCCAATAGTTCGCTCAGCGCTGTACATTACAAAGGGGGACAGAACATGTGACAGAACAACAACAATACAATGCAAAACATGAGGGGATCGAGGGCCCTGCTCTTTCGAGCTTACAATCTAGGAATTTATGATTTTTTCAGTCACGTTATTTACTTCTTCATTGTGTTATTGTAATTTACGGTGCACAGCAATACATTCATTTGGTTTCACTGTGCGTTTGTATCACCATTTTCTGTTTTATACTAGTTGCACTCTATGTTTGCCACATTTATTTATGGTATTTTATATGGTCACCTATTAGTTGTTTTATGTCACATGGCCTTTTGATGCACATTGTGTTATGACCCTTTAGTCGCATGGTCACATTTTTTGGCCTCACTGTTCGTTGTTTATTGTCATTCTTCTGTGATAAGTGGTTTGTCCACTTTTTATATTTAATCACTTCATTTTGTATTTTTCATATTGTGCTCCACTTTCTCATCAGTTGTATTCACGTTATTTCATTTATGTTATGACGGACTCATATCTCCCGCTATTACTGTGATTTAGTTAATATTTTATTTTTCCCTGATCATATCTGTGCGTTTTGCCCGCGGTCACTGTTTATTGTCTGTTACACCTTTTGGTCCTCATTTTGGATCTTTATTATTTCACCTTTCCCTTCACTCCCATATTCTTTCCATTTACTGATTATGTTATGGTGTATTATCTATTGTCTTCTCATCTCATTCTTTGTTTTGGAATGTCTGTGGCATTATTGTGACTAGCGCAACATCAACTTTCTGTATATTGTAGATATTATGCTTTTAACATTATAAATAATTAAGTTTGAGTTCATGCTACAGAAGATGTGGGATATTAAGAAACCTCAGTAAAAATACCTCAAAGGTTTTGTTAGATATATATGTAGATTTTTTTTTTTTTATCACATTTTAAGCGAAAAAAGGTTCCAGACTCTAAGCCAGCCCTGTCAGAAGAGCAGATATCTCTTAATATTTAGAGGCTTTTTTTTTTACAAGCTAAGGTTTAACCACTTGCCCTCCAGAGGATTTACCCCCCCCCCCCCTTCAGGACCAGGCCATTTTTTGCATTGCGGCGCTGTGTTACTTTAACTGACAATTTCGCGGTCATGCAATGTCGCACGCAGATGAAATTTAAGTCCTTTTTTTCCCACGAATTGAGCATTCTTTCAGTGGTATTTGATCGCCTGTGCGTTGTTTTTTTTTTTGCACCATAAGCAAAAAAAGACAGACAATTTGAGAAAAAAAAAAATAATAATATTTTGGACTTTTTGCTATTAAACATGTCCAGTAAAAAAAATCTAAATGAGTCATAAAACATAAGGCAAAATGTATTCTGCTCCATGTTTTTTGCTAAAAAAAAAAAAATTCCCAATATAATTGGTTTACGTGAAAGTTATAGCGTTTCCAAATGGCGGTATAGATGATGGGATTTTTTTTCCCTACTAGTAATGACGGCGATCAAACTTTTAGCGGGACTGCGGCGGACATTCTGACACTGAGGGGGAACTAACTTGGTGACACCAATACAGTGATCAGTGCTATAAAAAAAAAAAAAAAAAAGAAGCACTGACATTGTACTAATGACACTTCGCAGAAAGGGGGGATAACTGTGTGCTGGGAGTGTTTTACTAGGGGGAAAGGGATGTGTTCTTCACTGTAAGCACACTAATCGGGATGGCTGTACTGTGCACACAATCTGTCTGATCTGTCTACAGGACAACTATTAGTCGTGCACTCCCACAAATCTGCCCTTTATGGAAGAGTGACAAGAAGAAAGCCATTGTTGGAAGGAAGCCATAAGAAGTCCTGTTTTCAGTTTGCGAGAAGCCATGTGGGGGACACAGCAAACATGTGGAAGAAGGCGCTCTTGGTCAGAGGAGGCCAAAATTGAACTTTTTGGCCTAAAAGCAAAACACTATGTGTGGCGGAAAACTAACACTGCACATCACCCTGAACACACCATTACCACCGTGAAACATGGTGGTGGCAGCATCATGTTGTGGGGATGCTTTTCTTCAGCAGGGACAGGGAAGCTGGTCAGAGTTGATGGGAAGATGGATGGAGACAAATACAGGGCAATCTTAGAAGAAAACCTGTTAAAGTCTGCAAAAGACTTGGGACCGGGGCGGAGGTTCACCTTCCAGCAGGACAACAACTCAAAACATCCAACCTGAGCTACAATGGAATGGTTTAGATCAAAGCATCTTCATGTGTTAGAATGGCCCAGTCAAAGTCAAGACCTTGAGAATCAGTGGCAAGACTGCTGTTCACAGACGCTCTCCATCCAATCTGACAGAGCTTGAGCTATTGGGCAAAGAAGAATGGGCAGAAATGTCCCTCTCTAGATGTGCAAAGCTGGTAGAGACATCACCAAAAAGACTTGCAGCTGGAATTGCAGGGAAAAGGTGGTCCTACAAAGAATTGACTTCAGGGGGCTGAATACAAATGCCGCCATACTTTTCACAG